GTTACCAAGCTACTGAAGACAAAATTAACCTAATCAAATATTTAATATGTTGTTCAATGAAAGGGTTCCACGTGGCAAAAACCTAAATTATTTCTTCATCTTCTTGGTCGCTTTCCAGTTTTCCATTTGATTACTCCCCACCCCATTTTCATCATCACATTTTTATTACTCCCCCGTTGATCCCATAGAATTTCCTAAACATTCATGTAAGAAGTCCACAAAATATATCATATTTAGAACAATCCCACAAAGTAATACAAACCTTCATATCAAAATTAAAAACAAATGTAAAAAATGACTAAAAAGAATCAAATGTTTTTTTGGGTGTTGGAGTCACTAGCCTAGCCAAGGGCTGTAAACGAGTCGAGTCGAGTTTCACCTAAACAAGCCTAACTTGGTTTTACTATTGTCGAGTTTGAGTCGAATCTCAAGCCGACTAAGCCAAAAAAATCGAGTTCAAGACTCGACTCGTTTGTAATCGTATGACTCGTGACTCAACTTGAGCTCATGGACTCGAGTTTGAGCTAGCTCAATTGGGCTTGTGTGTGGTGGGAGAAGGCTAGGAAAAGGTTGGTTGGGAGAAAAAAGTCGAGCAGGTGGGTGGTGATGTCTAAAAAGGCTTGGGTTTTGGTTGGGGTAAATGGTAGAGCAGGTGGTGTGCGTCAAGGTGGGGAGGCTACGGGGAAAGCTTGGGAATGGTGGAAAACCAGAAAAATGACTAGCAAAACACTATCAAAACAAACTTCTCAATACGCACAACAGTCTCCCACAAATTTCCCTACCAATCAAACTCCACAAACAACAAATTCGGTCACAAAACGCGACTTTCATGTTGAAAATCCTTTGACTTTTTGAAGTGGATTGTGGAAGACTTTGCAGATTGGGGTAAAAAGGGTCGTCGTTGGCCAAGGACACAGCGAGGAGAGGCGGCGGTCAACGGAATAACAACAATATGAAGCAGTGGTTGACGGATGCTAATTTAGGGGTTAAGGTTCTAAGAAATTGGCTTTGCGCAAATGTTTCAGAGTCTGATTTGATTTTTTGTTTAATTGGGAATTGGGGGTCAATTGTCATTTTTTAAAACTTTTGCATACAAAATAACACCCCCAATACATGTAAATATCGCATATAACCCATTCGATCGTGGAAATCTTGCGAGCCTAGTCAAGCCGAGTCAAGGGTCACTTGAACTCAAATTTTGGCTCAATCCTAGCCGCTCACAAGTTGGCTCGGCTCGGAGATCTCAAGTCGATCCCTAACTTTCAACGAGTTGAGCTGATTCACGAACGGCTCGACTTTGCTGACACCCTTAGCCTCACACCATGGCAAGCCTGGAAGCGCCTCCTCCTCCTATTCGTCGAGCCGCTTTGTGCGTTGAAGATGCCATGTCGCTTTGCACTAAAGTCATCAGCCAAGCTTAGCGACCCTGACAAAGTTTTAGTTTTTGGTTTGGCATGGCTGTTACAAAACGGCTAGTCTTTGTGTTTTAGGAAAGGGGAATGAGAGGTGAGACTTGAGAGAAAGAGAGGAGAGGAAAGATTCAATTAATTGCTAATTTTAGCGTTAGTTTTATAAAAGACTATATTATCCTTCAGTTTTTTATTACTGTTTGCATAGGATATTTGTCTTTTAAGATTTTCCGTTAAACTTAACTTTGACTAATGGTAATTTATCTCTTTTCTGTGTATTTAAGAATTAGTGTCCTTTTTTAATGTATTTTATAAAAAGTTGTCTCTTAATTGATAATATCCTTTAGAGTAAATGACATAGTCCCACCCAAGGTTTGATGAAATCTCATGTTGGTACCCTTAGTTACATTTGTTCCAGGTTCTCACCCTTAAAATAACACGGTTAGCAATTTTTAGGGTATAGAGGATGCAATTACCATAATGCCCTTAACCGTAAATTAATAAATTATGTTTTAACCCCTAAATTAGTAGAATTATAAAACTTACCATTTTATTTTCAAATTATCTCAATAACACCCTCGGTCACTGCACACCCTCTCGATTTTTTCCCAATATAGGCTGTTTTCGACAGTGTCAAAACCCCTGGTCACCTCCATCACCTTCCCCATAGTCTGTCATCCAAAACTCCTTTGGTTCCTAACTCATTGGCCCCTCTAATCGCCAACACCGTTAGGCTTAGGGTTTTGTTGTTCTTCGCGGGATTCTGATCGATTTCGGCGGCGAAAATCCAATTGGACACCACCACTGCAACCAACATCTCCAACTCTATAAAACCCATATGTCCTAGTAATCGTTTAGTCATCGCTCGCCTATCGAGAGTTTGTGTTCATCGGCCATTTTTTGAAGAAGTGGTGGAAGGCAAACGGTGAGTTGTTGTGGCTGGGAAGGTTAGGTGTTTTGTAGGGGAGGATGCGAGGAGTCAAATGGTGGTGGTGGTGGTTGGGGTTGTTGCCATTAAAAATAGCTGAAAACTGGCAAAAATTAGTCTCATGTCGCGGCTACCATGGCCAACGATCGGCGAGTAATGAGAGGTTGTGAAGGATAAGGTTTTTTAGAGGGGAGGATGGGGGTTCAAATGGTGGTAACAAGGGTGATTTTGGGTGGAAGAATCGCCGAAAAAAAGGCAAAAAACATCGGGGACACTGTTTGCTAACGTGCGTTGGAGGACTGTTAAAGGCAGCGAGCTGCTAACATGAGCCGCCCATGCAAAATGACCAATTTACCCCTTTACCATTACATCAAACACTTTTTCATTACTTTAAGGGTGGAAATCTAGAATAAATATAACCAGAGGTACCAACTTAGGATTTGGTCAAACCTTGGGTGGGAATATGTCGTTTACTCTATCCTTTACGCTTTTATAAAACTTCATATAACATACCCGAGCCCGGGTCCAAGTGTAATGTATGCTGAGGATTGTCTTTTTTTTTTTTTTATTGGCACCCTATTAATGAACTAAAGAAGTCCCACCTTCAAATAAATTTTATAATGACAAATTTATCCTTATGTTAAATTATTAAAATTAATTTTAATTTCTTATTTTTTACAAATACTTTAGACACCCCAATATTATCTCATAAACCATAATTTTTGTTATACTATTCAAATCATAGTTATGACAAAAAGATAATTGTATGGAGAAAAAGAAGACTTTCAATAGAATATATCAAGTCACAAGCAATACAAAATATTATTGTTATTTTTCTTCAGGGTATTGGTAATTATATTAATCTATATATTTTTTGTCTTGTATTTAAAAAAAAAAAACAAAAATTCAATGAAGGACATTTATAAATGTGTGCTAATCAAATTCCTACATGGCTAAATTAAGGGTTTTAGTAATTCAGAATAAAATATCAAACTTATCTTGTATAAACAAGTCAAATAATACGTAATTAGATAAGACAGTTGTATATATCAAAAGTGATGATATATAGGTGGGAATTGATGAACACATAGAAGGAAAATTATAGATAATCCAAATCAGTTTATGCAAATATGCACAAATAATGCTTTCCACTAGTATTTCTTATTTATTTATTGTCTCCCATTAGTCCTCCACTGCAACATTAGCTTATTAAAGATCTTCAAATCAAATCAATCAAATCAATCATCCATACCAATATCATTTAAGATTAATTCGAAGCAATTAATGAGGCATCTTATGATTGTAAGGTTGAAAATTTGAATTTTTTAATTGAATTGTGTATATGCTTATATAATTAGTTAAAAATACATTATTAGGTCTCTCATTTAAAACGAAGCTATATAGTTACTTAATATAGCACAATTATAAATAATGATACTAGCTAAAAGCTGCAACAATCCCTAATGGATCCTACATATAATTAATATATACATTAACTTTTTAATTGATTATAATTGTATATAACACTTTATTTATAATCTCAAAATGGTATCAATTTAGATTTAGACCACGAAGAATTTGATGTTTGTAAAAAGTGTTTGTGAATGACTAAGTGAAAAGCAGTTCTTGGAAGTGGGAATTGAAAGTGTAGTGTGGGCAATTTCGTGTTATTGATGAAGACAATAAAATGAATGATTGAGAGAGGAAGCAAGCATGCTAGGCTAAGCTCTATTAATGGCAAAGCAAAGTATAGAGGAGAGGACAGATGTCAATGGAAGCTTAGATTGGAAGAAAGAGGCAGCTCCACTAACATAAGCATTGAAGATTTTGGACAGGGAATTTTGGTTGGTGATGGATAGGGGGGGTGTTTGACTGTTTGTGGCCTCGGTTTCTTTTTTATTTTTAGGTTCTCTACAAGTAAATAATATAAGGTTATATTTTAAACACCTGATTTTGTGTAAGCATCACCGGGAAGACTGATTGTAAAGAAGTAAAAGGAACTTCCATGTTTTGAGTTCGAGTTTTCTTTAGGTAAGGCCCGGGGATTAGTTGAAGTTGAATAAGATGACTGTTTTACAATAGATGTTTTGACCCCAGAAATGGGAAGGAGATAGAAATGCTTTAACAAGACAATGTTACATAGAATGACCACGAGGGAGATAGTGCATGACAGTAAAACTCAAAGTGGAACGCAAAATAATATGAGAAAGTGGGAAAGCATGCATCCCAAATCTTCTTCCTCTAATTGGTCCCGTTTCTCAAAGTTTACACAGCCCCAATCTCCTTTAATTCAAAAATGGAGGCATCAAGAAAACTACATCAAGACAAATACAAAGAATACCATCTCCACCTCCACCTCCACCTCTACCTACCCACTAACAATACCCCTCATAGACACGTTCCTCATTTTGTCATCTAATTATAATTTTAAACTAAAAACTTTAAAGTCATCACGAAGCTACTAGAATTTCGGATGAAGCCATAAAGTTGACCCCTTTCTCCACTATATATACAGACCCTACCTTCACATATTTCACTCACAAAATATTGTACTTGTTTTCGTACATTACTTTGGAGAGTGAAGTGAGAGTGTTGTTCCATTTAGTTCTTCTTTTTGAACATATTGTTTTTAATTGTTGTCATTGTGAAAATGGCCGTGCCAGTTGTAGAGTTATTGGTTTTGCATTCTTGATCTTGCTCCTTGTGGACATTTCTTTTGCTACATCTAGACAGCTGAAGGATATTGGTATAAGTGAGAGGAGGTGGTGTGGCGGAGAAGGAGGAGGTGAGGTGTGGGTCGGGTGGGTTATTTTCTGGGTATGGGTATGGGTCAGGAGAGGGTCAGGTTATGTGGTGGTAGAGGGTCTGGTGGTGGAAGTGGTGGAGGTGGAGGAGGAGGCGGTGGGTCTGGGTCGTCGTAGTGGATACGGGTCTGGGAGTGGAAGTGGATTGGATCAGGATATGGGTCTGAAGTGGGGGCGGGTAGGTGGAGGTGGCGGCGGCGGTGGTGGTAGAGGAGGAGGAGGTGGTGGAGGCTCCGGGCATGGAAGTGGTATGGGTCCGGTTACGGATGGGAGTGGTTCGGTGTATGGAAGTGGTGGCGGTAAGGGAGGTGGTGGTGGTGGTGGAGGCGGTGGTGGAGGAGGAGGCGGTGGAGGCATGGTTCAGGCTATGGTAGCGGGTCTGGATATGGAGGGGGGTTGGGTCAGGATACGGCGGTGGTGGGGATGAATATGAGCCATGAACGTGAAGGTTGATTAATTTAGTTTGGTTTAGGTAGGCATGCATGCATAATTAATATGATTTGTAATTTTCTGAAATAAAATTGCGACGGGATTCACCTCGTGCATGCATGGTGGTGGTGAACGTTGCAATCACCATACGATATTATATATATATTATATATATATATATTATATATATTATATATATATATGACGTCACTGTAACTAAAACCATGTTATTAATAAAGATTTACTTCTTTTTTGTTCGATAATTTAAATACGTGCTTAGTAAACCATAGGATAGTTTTCACTTTAGTGCTTATAATCATTATTTTAAAAACTGGATCGGATAATCTGTTTTGTGGTCAGATCACGGTTCAACCGGTCCAACCGGCGGTCCTTTAGTGCTTATAATCATTATTTTAAAAACCGGACCGAAGGACAATCCGTTTTATTGGTCGGATCACGGTTCAAACGATCCAACCAGTTAGCTATCGGTTGAACTAATGACATCATCACACATCATGATCAGAAGCATCTGATTGCTGGCGCATGACCCACGGTAGTCCTGTATCATAGATACAGCCATACTTGCTGCCCAGTTGATATTGACTTTGCAGCAGCCCCGCAGGCCGAATCAATGTTTCCATACTCATTTTCAATCTGGCAAAACAAAAATGGGGAAAAAAATAAGAACATTGTCAGTGTTTTACTCTTCTAACTAAAAAAGTCAAACAGTAATCAATATATGACTCATTTATTAATTAGAAAATACATCACACTGATTAGAGTTCACAATAAAGCCAAACACCACATTAGTAAAACATTATTAAACACAAATAGGACCTGTGATAAAATGATGGATCCTCCTGAGAGTTGAGAGGCATAATGTTTCTCTCCTGCTTCAGCAGACCAACAATTTTGGTTGTAAATCGCTGCATTTCAGCCTGAACAGAGAACCAAGAATTTAATAACCGATAAATCAATAAACCCAGATATCACAAACTGAAAGCATAAAATAGGCATAGTGAAAACCTTGTATGGTTCGTTATCAGTTCGAAGCTCAATTCCCGGTACAAAATGCAACCAAAGAGGAAATCCTCTGCCCAGAAAATCAAAGAAAATTATATAAAATTTTACTTTAAATGTTTAATCGAAACTACAAATATGCAGTACCATTATCGAATAAAGAATAGAAAAAATTCTCACCCGTAGTTCCATTCAGCACAGACATATGGACCGATGCGTAGATGAACATAAGGACCAGCTTCTGCTACCAACTTCATGAACTTAACCATATCATATCTTCCTTCGAAATTATACTGTAAATTACCAGAAAAAAAAAAAATCGAAGGCTTCATTATTAAACATCTAAAACTAGTCAAATAAAACCACCCCAAAAAATATTCCAAAATATCATATAAGATCAGTTAAAACATTCTGTCTCTCCACTTAATTCCACATTAAAGAGAGAAAAAAAAAGCGAATATTATGAACCTATCTCAAAAATTATAGTTCTTTCTTTCTCTCCTACATTTTCTTAACAACCAAACACACATAGAGAAACTAAAATGAGAAAAAGAACCTGGTTTCGAACTGGTTCATGTATGTCGATTTTCGACGAGGGAGAAACGCGTCGTCGATTTCCGGCGAGGGAGGAACGTGTCGCCATGATTTCAGAGACTAGAGTTGCGATCGATTTCAGCAACGAATGGTTGTGATTTCAGCAAGAGATGGTTGTGATTTCAGCAAGATTGAGTTTTGATTTATGATCTTTTTCAGATTTTCGCGATTTCATTCAAATTTTTTCAGAGGTTTTTGCGCGTAGAGGAACTGAGGAAGAAGGAACTGCGCAGCGCAAAGGGAAAGTGAGAAATCAGGGGTTTTTTTCATTTTTCAGATTGGGCCGTTTTTTCTTGCTGTTCGATTGGACCGACGGTCCAGCACTGTTTAGACAGTCTAATGACGGGTTAAAACAGTTTATTGCGCAGGTTTTTATACTGACTCGAATCGGACACATGACCAATTCACGGTCCAACCGGTTGGACCGGCCTGTTCGGTCTGGCTTTTAAAACAGTGCTTATAATAATGTTACGTGAGTAAAGGTAATTTTTGAGTCAACCATAACCATGAAAATCATTAAGTCCACAAACAATCACAAGCCAGGCGGAGAAACGACTCTTTTTTTTTTTTTAATATCGTAAATAACGAAGAAATTTGAGGAAAACTTCAAAAAAAAATCATTTGGTTTTCTTCCAAAACAGTCAATTACTTTCTCCCTCCAAGATTTAAACTAACATTTATCATTTATCTCAAAGCCTCTTGCAGTAAACACATAAGAATTTGAAGCAAAACTTTTGGGAATTTAATCAACTAGAGTGTTAACCCCATACAACTAATTGCAGAAAATGCAAGAAGAAATTTTGGGACCAACGCTTGCTTCAGTTTTACTCCAACTGCATAAATCTTTGACAATATCAAACTAATTTTCTTCAAAAAGGAGATAGGAAAGGCTTTAAGCAATAGCCAATAGACCAGAGACCCAAAATCTTCGTTTATAACAAACACAAAATCGATACGATAAAAAAACGTGTTTCAAGTCAGGTGACCGATGACCACGAGAGCTCGTGTCAAACAACCTGCATCGATCAAACCATCTTAATACAGAAGAACTGAAATAGTTTGCAGTTATTAGATGCATAAAATAATCACCACGACAACATAGAGAATTTCATTGAGTAAGCAAATGATATCAAGTCTATCCACCAAATCATCTGCAGGAGAGACAACATTTAACAACAAAAACCTCGGGCTTAATCTAAAGCAAAGAATCCTACAAAAACATAGAATTGACACTTGCTAAGTTTAGAACTTACAACTTAATAAGAAACAAATGAAGCTATCTCTGATATTAAGTAAGTGATGATAGCCTACTCGAAGAAACTTCGTTATACAGAGATATATAACTGTATATTAAGAAGAATCCCTATACGAAGCTCAGCCCCAAAAAAAAAAAAAAAAAAAAAAAATTTCCGTTCTTCTTTCTTTCTACTCCGATCACTGTTTTTAAGATTTCTCACCAACTCATTTTGTGAGAAAACATATTGACATGTTTCTAGATCATTAAGAATGCAAGTCAAAAGGAGGTCCGTCAAAAGATTCTCAGCAAGAATGGGTTGCAACACATGAAAATTAATCCATCAACCTCTCAGAAGCATATGCTACCTTCTGCATTATCATGGACTCAGCTGCACGGATTGATCTCTGTGACCCTGAGATAGTGACTTTCCTGCAAACCAGAAACAAGATAGCAAAGACTAAGACCAGTTTTCCACCAAAATTCCCAAACACAACAGGTTCATGAACTCTTTGTTCATTCTTATACCTATCAGTTGTTCCAGACATGAAATCACCTCTATCTGATACTTTTATCCTGGCCCCACTGACCTGAAAAATTGAAGGGCTTCCCTTTAGTGGACACATAGTACTATCAAATAAATTATATTAATTTCCGATTCTCAAACCTGACTAATTTCCATTATATTCCTTCCACCACGACCAACAACCAAACCGATATGCTCATCCGCCACACCAATTGTCACTGAGTTACTCCGATCCTCCTAAAAATCAAAAGAAGGCATTTGTTTTATAAATCAAACAACATAAAAGCATTTTTCCTGAGAGCATCAGTTATCAACAGAGAAAATATCTGATGAGACTTGCCGTGATAATATAGACAGAAAAGGCACAACAGATTGAAATAAACTTATGAAAGAATGATCTGGATATAACTTTACACATTCATATGGAAAGCACAATGAGAAGGGGTAAAACAGTATGCTTGTACACATTGTCAAAACAAGTATGTTTTCCAGGACCTTTAAAGAACTAGGATCCAAACAGTCTTTCAAGCATTTACCAACGTATCTTCTTTAAATACTTCTGCTTATTATCACCAAACAGAAATCAACTTTGGGAAGATAAGCTAGAAAAAGTAGGCCTAAAGAACTTCATCTCGTATGGAATAGATTTAAGATGATACATCACATCAAACAATGGGGTTGTCTACCTAGTAGTTTTATATCATTCAAGTCATGGTAAGTGCTTAAAGAAACAAGCATGCATATTCTACTACACAATTTTAATTCCTTTTCCACCATTCTTAATAATAATAATAATTACAATTAAACAAGGAACATAAGATCCAGGGACTTTCACCGCTGGGTCCCACTTCCTGTGAGCCCTCAATCATGTAGGACTGGTCCTTCTGAATGCATCAATAATCATGGAGTCTATCTCATCATAAATTGACAAACTAGAATGACAAAATTAATAGATTGTGAACAAATGAAATAGTTAAAAACATTAGGGACCACCAATCAGATTCAAGCACCATGGAAGCAAATGAACCTTGTTATTTTGAAACTTCCTTCCAGCCACATTCGGTCCATAGCTTACTGCATTCTGAGCCATTGGTGCAACAGGAGGCACATGGCCATACGGCATACCATGAAAACCAGAGAAGAAAACACCTAAAAGTTCATGTTGAAAGAATTAAATTTCATCAAAATATTTCATAAATAACATATAAATTTCATCTAATAATTCAGAGAGAACAAAGTTTCAGCAACCATTAGGTAACTCGCATTAATCACAACTAACACATCCTAAAAGTTACTAGAGAGAAATGACCATTAATTATTGAAAGTACAAGACCATAGAATTGATTAACAGAAAACTTCCGTTACAAATTCCATAACTGATATCTAGTACAAGACTTCAGATGAACCTTCTTAATTGATTTCAATGCCTAAGTTTACCTACCAAAATTCAGTAAGATTTGAAGGCTACAAATTCAGGATACCGTAATTTGAAGGCTGCAAATTCAGGATACCGTAATCTTCCTAAATTTATTTATTTATTTATTTCGAAGCTATTTCATTCCACTAATACTGTTCTAGTAATTTTGACATCGATGTAACTGCTTCAAGGCTTATATATATAAGGTCGCATTCTTCTGATCTTGAAGACAACAAATAAGTAGAATATTGCAATAATAGGGAAAAGGACTTGGAAAAAAATGACAAACAAAGAAAGGGGCATAATGGATCAGACATGACATCAATATCAGCACTAGCTCATGGTATAAACCAAAATATATATGAGGTCCAAATAATTTTGTAGTTGCAAAATAATGCCCTTTCTAATAATTTCTATTAAGCAAGATAATAGCTTAAATCCAATATATAATCCAATGGGTTAGTTGAGTGGTGACACCTATTGTTTGTTTCCACAAGGTCTAGTGTTTGATTCTTCAAGGCCACCTACCAGTTGAACATAAGTTTTCTACTTCAAATAATTGTAGGGTCACTAAGTGTCTCAGTTTCAAACTCAAGTTGACCAAACCTGACTTCAATTTCACAATTCACGCCAAAGCCAAAGAAGTTACTAAATATAAAATGACAAATAAAAGAATGGCCACGAAGTAATGAGCATACCTTAATCCAAAGGACACAGATGAGATAAATGAAGCATACAAAATTTACAAGTAGCATACAGAAAATACAATCAGAGAAGTGCAAATAAGACTATGATTGGGTTGAATAGGATAATTAAAAACAGACACACCTGCATATGAATAGGGGACACTCATAGTCTGTTTATAATGAGTGTCTTCCATTAGCTTAGACAGAATCAAATCAATTGCCCGCAACTGCTCGTCAAGATGACCGGTCAGCGTCACTAACCTATCATTCAGCCCATAATAATTATGATCCAGAGGAGATATTTTAATGCCAGCTTGGGAGTCCTCAATAAATGACCTACATAAGGGCAAAACTAGATGTCAGCATCGACCTTTTTGCTGCTGTGCTAGCAAATACATGAATATATGCATGACTATTGATTTATTCCACTGTTTATAGTAGCAAATATGTAAATAAGGAACCGAGAAATACATAATTTTTCAAACTTTAGAAATCCAACAACAAGAGGCGATAGAAAAAATAACAGACAAGATGCAATAACAATAATGGTAAAGAAACAACAACTCTGAATTTGAAGTGAATGCTCATAGGCTAACACACCAAGAAGGCTATGGTGCAAGGGGTCTAGCCATCAGCAAGGGTTTATCTCACATTGGCAAAGAGCAAACGAGGCTGATTGTGGTAAAATCTTCAGGGTTTTCTTTGGAACACTAATGATGGCATTATATATAGTCCTTCTCTAGTGAGAAAATTTGTACCTTTACAAAGTGCGTACTTCACTATGAAATAGTAACTGAAGGTAAAGTTGGCCAACTCAACATGGACTGATGATTATCATAGAGATTTGTGGTATGCAATTTGTTTTGCTTTGTTCCTTTCTTTTTTTTTAATAAACAATCCAGGTATGCACAAAAACTCACTAGGTTTTGACAATATCATTACTCTTACCACCAATGATGGTATCCTACAGAATTTATAGATAATAAATCTAAAGTTATTGGGTTGAAGACCCACTACTCTGATTCTCAGATTGGTTGGTTTTATATTTGTGTGAAACAAAGCAATTGTTAAGATCACACCAAGCCAAATCAGCAACAAAAACTATAACTTTACAATCAAGATGACTAAATTTTTTTCTGACAATACATCCGTCCTTTGTGAAACACATCAACCAGCTCAAATATCTAAAAGAA